ATGGCCGCTGCCCCCGGTGGCTCTGCTCCATTTTAAATAAATGTTTTATGGCAACAGAAAGCACACAGAGCCAAGAAAAATGCTAGTCGCATTAGCCGAACCGAACTGAACCTCAAGGATAGAAAACCGGGCACGAAGAGCGGCTCTCACGGATGTGAATTTGTGTGTAGTGTGTTGCCAAGAGGCCAACACATGGCCGAGATGGAGCTGCAGTTTTCGGCTTCAGAGCTGAAGCTTGAGCTGGAGCTGGAGCTGCGGGAGCTAATAAATTTCTCGACGTCTGCCTGCCAGCTTGCCTGCCGTTTGACGCTATTGATCGTTAAGTAAATTGTCTGCAATTATGCCAAAAGGGAAAATAATAGAAATTATAACGAAAAGGCTCTGCGGCGGCTGTTGACTTTGTGTGGAGTCGCGTGGTGGGAAGTGGGATTCAGAGTCTGAGCCTGAGTCTGAGTCGCAGTCAAAGTCGAAGTCGAAGTTGGATTTGGAATCGGAATCTGTGACAGCCGCATTTGCGCATAAGTTTTGCCGCCTTATCGGGCCCAGAAAATGCTGGCGATCATAATTCTTGCTTAGGTGGCAAATTGCTGGCAGTTGCCAATTGCATGTGGGTCAGAGCACTCACGAATCCGCATCCAGATCCCGCTCCAGACGAACCCGACATTTATATTTATAACTCGTGCAGAGCCCGTTAATTGTTTCGCTCTTGATAAGTGAAATTTACCGACTCCCGGAGTCACCTAGCTCCAAAGTCGGAGTGGAGTCAGTGAGGCACTGCATGGCCTTAGCCTGGCCAGCTAGCTTGGCTGACCAGCTGACTGACAACTGACTGACTGACTGGCCAACTAACCGGGCTCCGACTGCGACTCCGGCCTGTGTCAGTTGGCTATCGCAATGTTACATCCGTGCGTGCTGTCAATTAACATGGCCGAATCGAACAACCGAATCAATTAAGCATTGCCCGGCGATGCTAATAATGGCCACGCCCCGAGCCCCAGGCCTGTCATAAGCCGAATGCAAATCTGCATTCCGAGGGCAATTCCAACAGTAGCCACTACTGGACTAGTTCAAAAAAACAAAAATTCGGTTTGTGCCAAGTCAAGACACTGCGATCTGGCCTGTCCTCCCTGCCATTTGATTGATGCTTGTTGGGGGCCCGCAGACAAACTGTTTAATTGGTCAGAAACCGAGTTGGTCGAATCTGCATTGTTGATTACATAAGCGCCGCTGGGTTGACAAATGTTTAGGCAGGACTCTGATCCTGTTTTCACACATTGTGCAACACGCCGGGACCACGACAGTTGAGCTATGTTTTTTCGGTTGACTTTTTCGGTATTTTGGGTTTTGTGATTTTTCTGGGTTGGTTTTCTAGCCCCGCCCGCGCATTGGCACTTTCGGCCGAATGTTCGATTTCAATTGGAAATCTCGGCAACGTGTAAAAATATTTGTGCAACTGACTGCGTTTTTGCTTTTTGGCAGTTTCTGTGTCTGTAACTGTTACTGTTTCTGTTTCTGTTTCTGTTTCTGATTGCTGCCTTTGATGCATTTCAAATGAGTTGATTTATGGCGAGTTTTTGGCTGGCTTTTGAATGACTGAATGACTGGCTGCCTGACTGACGGACTGACGGACCTGTGCTAACTGGCTGGCTTGTGTCTGTCGCAGAGCATGAATGAAGGCTTGTTGATGTTGTGACAGCTCCAAAAACTGGACGGGCTCAGAGACATGTTAAACTGCTTTAATTACTCCGGCCAGGCCAGCATGTGTATGCACCTATCTACATATGTACACTGCTGATTTTCGGTCCATAGATTTATGAGAATTTATGCCGCACCCAGTTGCAGTCGCAGTTCGAGTCGAAGTCGGAGTCACAGTCGCAGATACAGATACTGTTCGCGTCCCAGTTTCAAGAGCTGCCCTTAGCCAAAAGGAAAGTTTGGCGGGGATCCTATCCCGACTGACCCGCAAATAGTTCCATTTCGAGCGGGGAAACAGCATTTGACGCCCACGCGAACACGAGCCACAACAACTGGCCCACATGCCAAATGACCACCCTTCCCTTCCTTCCTGTCCAGCCTCCGCTCTCACTCACTGGCTCCTTCTGGGCTGCAGGAGGGACTTTGATAAATTCCGCACAAACACACGGGTAATTTGAATAATGAGGCGGGGGCTGCGGCCGAGTAAGGGGGCATCAATCTGTCAACGCCGCGACGTCGCATTCTGTTGCATGCGCATGCGCACAGTTTGAGTTCGATAGGTTGCCTGCCACTGCCACTGGTCCAGGTCCGCATCCAAGACGACCGGCCATCGCGTGCCGCCGACTTCAGCTTCAGCTTCAGCTGCGGCACCAGCTCCCGCTCCTGCTCCTGCTGCTCCTCATCTTGGCAGCCGCATTTGTTCGCCGCGTGGGTCGTCGCAGTCATCGCCGTCTATCAATTAAACAAAGCGGCGCGGCGGCAGCAACAGCAACATCAAATGCAAGGCCGGCATGGCTGCCAGGTACCCCAATACATAGGACTACTCGAGGAGTAGGAGACTCCAGACTCCAAGTCCCACTCCCGGCTGGACCCGATCCGGCCACCCAAAACGCTGCTCCAGTTGCCATTTGAGCAGCGCTTCCGCGCTAACGGCCAGGGCAACCAGTTTTATTTCTGTTGTTTGCCGGCACTGGGAAAAGTTTCGCTAAACAATGCCAAGGAGACGTGATGAATATTATAGGGAAATAAGTAAAGAAAATCGATCATTGTTACAAATAATATAAGGATTTAAATCGTTTGCATTTGCATTCCATGTAACAAATTGTCTAATGAAAATTATGAATGCATTTGCTCCTCTTCTATCCCATCTGATTTCAAGCTTTGGTATTTGTTTATGTTATTTTTGGGTAAATTAAAGTTTTTCACATATCATAACTAAGCCAAAAGTGCATTAATTTCAATTCGGAGAGCTTTCCAATGTTTGCTTTTATTAGGTTAACAAATCTGCATACTCAATTTCTAGTTTACAAAATTTTAATTTTTTGACAATTTTTTTTCGACAACTTTAACAACATAACAATTTGAAATTTTGAAAAAATTTCAAAAAATGTATTCTTCTACCGGACATGGCTAAATCAATTCTGCTGTTAATGCTGATCAATAATATGTATGGTTTATAAGGTCGGAAATGATTCCTTCACTGCGTTTCAAGCTTCTAACCAAAATTATGTTAATACCCTGATAGGGTTTACAAATAGTCCAGTTTTTGGGATTTTTTTCACTGCAGCCGCTTTGTTTGACTTTGTTTGGTTTCATTTCGTTTTGTGTGTTTCGCGGGTCTCGTGCAGGATAAACATGGAGCATTATTTAACGACACAATTCGTGCAACTCCCACGCATGCAAACGGCAACTCCAAGGAAAACAAAGCCCCCCGAAAAACGAGGCGAAAAGCTGAAAAAAAGAAGAAAAAAGCACAAAATACAAAACTGAAAGCGAAAAATGCGAATTGAGGGTCTGAGGTCTCCAGTCTGATGGCTGATGGCTGGGCTCTTAACTGATGGCCCAGCGACCGAAATTGGCACAAAAATGTCACCAGCCTGCCCGCTTCCCTGTCTGCGCCTGGAGATCGGGATGGGGTTGGGATGGGGCTGGGTCTGGGACTGGGGCTGTGGCTGGAGAGGATCAGGGAGGGGGATCACGTGGATCCATCGATCATCGGCGCGGAAAATGTCAAATTGGTTTATCAGCCCACAGGAAAGGCGGCTTTAATGTCAGTTTAGCAATTTGACAAATGACTTGCGATAATAAAAATGCTAAAAATGTGGCACGTCGCGAGGTGCATACGCGTTCATCGAACTCTGGCTCTAAGCCCGGCTAAAATCGATCAGCAGCTGTTATCGATAAGGCCGCTGCTTGTTGGTAGCATGTTAGATCACATGTAAGTGGGCCTCCGAGCCCGAAGATTGACGATCGCAGCGACGACTAGGATCGTGGCCATCGCCGGACATGGACATTCATAAATCGGTTGTATCGCATTTCAGTAACCACTGCCACAAATTACACGCAGCCCGGCGACAAGGGGCATTAATAATTGCCCAGCTAAATGCAATATCGAAGCCCCGAGAGCAGGCTTATCAATAAAACTGTTCAACGGCCACGCCCGCACACACGCACTGCCAAAAGTGCGGCGGCTCCTCGGGCTCCAGCCCCGGCCCCGGCCCCGGCCCCGGCTCCCTTCTCCCTGCGAGTCCAACTCCGCCTTCGCCAGCGATACCGATTCCGATTCAGATTCCGATTCCAGGATGACAAATTGCGCAAATCCATGAGATAGTTTTTGGCTCTCAGCATTTGCACGATCACTTGGCCGACCGGCCGGCCGTTGCATAATGTGCCGCTTAGATTTGTATCTGCCGCATGCACCATGTTGTTGACTCAAAACGCTGTCAAAATGGCCAGCCAGAAATGATTCGTGAGATAAAGAGCCAAAAAAGACAACGGCAAGCAAACAAATGCAACAAATTCAGCAACTTGCGGATTGGGCTAGGCCAGAGCCTGCTCCAGCTCCGGCTTCTTCTTTTGCTCTAAGTCTAGCTCCTGCTCCTGCTTCTGCTTCTGCTTCTGCTCTAGCTCTACTGACCACTGGCCGGGCATGGACATTTAATAAACAATTTTGCACCATTTTTCAGCCGGCCGTCCGGGTGCTGCTGTCACTTCGGCTAATGGCCGTCGTTAGCTGTTCATCTGCGCCGGGCTTATCAATTTATCAGGCCCGGCCCCACCGGCAATTAGCCAGTCTAAGCGTCTAATTAAGTTGCGCCAGCACGAGCAGATACAAATGCTGATCGATGGCAGAAGCATCGCAGTCTTGAGAGATAGTGAGAGATGGACGAGGATGAGGTTGCGGGCCAAGACTGAGGGAAGACTATGATAGTCGAGAACATCAGGCACTCTTTCGAAACAAAAAAGAGTGTGTTGCGAATTAACAAACTTTTATAAAAACGACAACAATGAATAAATATATACTTAAACAAATAAAACGAAATGTGGACTAGAGTTCGGTTCGATGGCTACTTGTCTGTCTGATCTCCCGATACAGTTGCTCGAAGAACCGACACTCCTGCTCTGAAAGTGTCACCACCAGTGTGTCTGTCTGCAGGTCCATGTCACTTGAGTCTAAGTCTGCCTCGGCAGAGAGGCCATAACCATGGGATGGCATGGAGGGAACGGGCTGAATGTCCGGTCGGAAGTCACGCCGACAGAGCGGACACCGTGTGTCCTGGCCCAGCTTGAGATATCGCTCGAAGCAGTCCGCACAAAAGGAGTGGCCACAGGAGATGCGCCTTGGCGAACGCTGTTCATCTAAGCAGAATATGCATGGACTGGAAGTCATGGTCGGAGAGCAGTCGCTTCTCTGGCCTTCCATTTGCTTACCAATGGCCTTGAAGTACAAAATATACAGTTTTTCTATTTTGGGAAACGTTGTTGAAACGCAGAATTTCCAACTTGACTAAATGACATTTCTCTCCGGCCTACTATGTCAGGGTTTTTTCGTTATTTTCGAGCTAGTGTTGCTGTGAGGTAATGATACAGATGCCCAAGACTAAGTGCAGACATATATCGATAACAGTGCTGGCCGGGGTAACACCTCTCGACTTCATCCCAGCTGCACCCAGCTCAGTTCTTGATGAAGTTCTCATTCAGATCGTGTTCGGATCGCCGCAACTCGTTCCCAGGCAGCTCTTTTGCATAATTCCATTTAATCTCGGCCAGAGTTGAGGGCAATTTTCAATTTGCCGTGCCGGCGACGCTCCTGTGGCTGTTATTGTTAATATTGCCATTGTTGTTGCCGGCTGTTGTTGTGTTGTTGCCATTCAAATTGCATTCAAATCAATTACATTCGAACTAAACATAATTCATGTGGTATGGGTTAATACAACAAATTACAACTGACATTTAAGCAGAAACATGAAACGGACAATTTAACATGAGCGCGGGATGAAGGCAGAAAGAGCCCAGGCAAAAGAGAGATATGGCAAGCTCCGAGCTCAGCAGCGGCAACTACTTCTGGGGCTGGCTGGTTGGTTGGTTGGCTGGCGGCATCAGGCATCATATGCTGCGGCCGAAAAAAAGGCCAGAAATATATGTATGTACGAAATTCGAATATACAAAATCCGAAAAACAGAACTCGACTTGACTGGGGGGAGCCCCACACCAAATCGCTGCCACTTGGCTCGAGCTGGGCCGGCCAGCAGTGAGCAATCAAGGCAGAGTGACCTTCAGTATCCGCAAAAATGAAAATAAACAAAAAGCCTGAAAGCGACACGAAAAAAGTGCAGCCCCACACACACACACACACACACACACTCACAGGCGAAACAACAATAAAATTCTTTTCTCACGATTGTTGACTTTAACACTTGCAGGAAAAAATCAAAAGCCTTACAAAAATACAAAACCAAAAAAGTTACGAGTGCGAGTGGCGTTCGAGAATTCACTGTCATTGCCTGCGACTCTGAAATTAAGCCCCACATTGAAGCACAATGAAAATGAGCTACTGCCTCTGGGAAGTGGCTGCCGATTCCGCTGGCGACAAATTTCCGAGGCGGAAGAAGACTCGAGACCAACTTCGAGGCTGGGATGGCCGAAAGTTCCCTGCTCCACATGCATTTCAATGGAAGCGAAATCGAAGCGGAGATAAATGTTCTGGCCTGGCCGGCTGTTGTTTTACTTAATTTTATGTGCTTTGCATATTTTCACAGGGCCGGACATTAAGCATTTTGCATGCGTGCCGAGCTCATTTATTTGCTGCAGTTTCTGTTTATCGATTGAATGCATTCTGGTTTTGCCTTCTGCAATTAAGTGAAATTTATGTTACTGCTGGTTCGTCGCTTAAGTCTTTTGTTTGCGGCCCGCGCGCCAAGGCACGTAAATTGCCAAAAAAAAAAACGAAAAGCCGCAGAAAAATGCGTTTCCTACTTAGCGTGGGCAGACAGTAAGCCGGCTGAAGCCCCGCGACCTTCTCCCGCTCCATCGATGACCCCCTCGCATCCCATCCCAGCCTGGCCAAGCTCTTTTGGCTATCCTGCTAGCCAGCTCCTCATTTTAATCCGCCGCGTTGGTGGCGTGCATACATAATGCATAATTACCGGTTTCACTTTTCTCTCCGCTGGATGGCTGCGATTATCTTGGCATGCCTTGGCGTTTTTATTCCACCGAACAGATATTGTATTTTACAGGCACTGCGGTTTTATTGCCTCGCTCGTATGGTTTCTTAATTTTTTAATTTTTATGATGTGTTAATGGATATTTCTGTGACATGACCTCCTGGCGTGCCGTTGTCGTTCGTCAAGCCTGTCCGCCGTCCCGTATTAAATTCAAAGCCAGCAAAAGCGGGGGGAGAAACAGGAGCTCTCCGACGGGGGGAAACCGAGTCCAAGTCTCGAGTCCCGGGCATTATGCAATCTGCGACTGTAATTGAAGCTATTTAAAGCTCGTTACACGGCAAGGACACGGCTGTGGATTCGCAATTCGCAGTCAGGGAAGGGCGTTCATCCCGAGGGGCTGTCAATCAAGACCCAGATCGGGCTTAGTGGTGTCCCTAGGTGGCGCCCTCCACTAGCCACTCGACCATTTGGCCAATCATCGGAGTTAAGTGCGCTCCACGCAACCGAATGTGACCCAGTTCCGGCTCGAAGCAGGGATCGACTTGTCGCTCAAATTACACGCACAGAGCCCAGGTCTTCGGCCGGGGAATGATTACAGGGCCCAGGGCATGCAATTTGCATCAATAAAACTGCGAACAGAGAACTGGTATCTGGAATCTGTGCTCTGCGATCTGAAATCTGGAATCTGGACTCTGCTGCTGCTGCTGTAGGTCAGTTTGCAAAGGCGGCGATGATGTGCTGCCTGCTTCTGCATTCTGCATTCTGCATCTGCATTCTGGGTCTTCAATCAAGTGACGATGGGCGCAAACGAGCCGCCACATGGTCGCAGATGGATTCCAGGGCTGTCCAGCCCATCAGACGCCTCTCTGGCCACTTTCATCTCGGCCGCGACTTATCCCCAGCTCCGGTTATCGGACTTATCGGAGACGAGCAGCGGATTTGACGGGTGTCGGAGCCACCAATTGACCGGCCAATAATTACTTTCTCTGCGAGTGGGCAACGACTGTTATTGATTTCGGCTGATTGCCGCCATAATTTTATTATGCATCATTAAGATAAAGCTGCCCTCCCCAGCCATTTGCAAATTGTTTACGGCTTATGGAAGCATCTTGAAAATGCCCAAATCTTCAAATCTCCACCCATTTCATCTCGCGCCGAATCTGAGACCTTATTCACAGGCTCCAGAAGCAAGACTTTCCAAAACAAAAGAGCCCAGGCCCAAGCTCAAAACATTATTATGTGCAAATGTGAAAGGGCCAGCTGAGAAGATCGGAGGGAAATAAAATTATACATTTGTGATAACCAAAGCAAGGGATTTCCATTTGAATAGAAGGCCCTCCAGCCGCAGAATGATTCATTAGCTTAATTTTAGCAAGTTATATTGCCTAGTTATTACAAGCCACCGGTGAGGTTCTTGAACCCTTCGACCGAGCTTCCAGTTTCGTCAGAAAACAATCAGGCATGAAGGTTATAATTTTGAAAAATTAAGACGGCTCTTTATCTGGAACTCGTTAAAGCAACCATGAAGGATAAGCGTGCACAAATTGAGCATCAACTTGAACTGACTTTACCCATTATCTTTTCGTTAACATAAGGTCCTACTCGAACTGAATAATCTCTAATCAGAGCAACCGCTTCAGAGCCTTACAAAGGGTTAACAAAATATCAAAGGGCCCTTGCCCTTTTATAAACACTGGCGCATCAAGTAGAAGTTTTTACATTGTGCAACCATTTTTTCTTGTGTCAGTTGAAGTCCGCTAAATTAACTTCACTTCACATCAAAAAGCCACCAAAATAATATAAATTCACAGAGCCCGGTGAGCCGAGAGGGGAAGCTGCAGCGTCTCCTCAGACTTCAAGTGTTATTCTCTGACAGTTCGGACGTCAACTTTAAAGTGAGATCTGTCATAAAAGAGCCTGCGCCGCTTTTGATTTTGATATTTTTGGCGGGTCTTCGCGAAAAAAGCGATCAGAAATATTTATATGGGGAAAAAGGCTGAGAGTCGAGAGCCGAGAGCTGAGATCTGAGAGCTGCGAGACATGCAACAGCCCAAAAATGTATGCAGATTTTTAATTAAAGCGCGTTATCAACAGAGCCGGGCCAGCAGTGAAACGGCCAAAATAAAAACAAAACACAAACCGGTTGACCCGATAGCCAATTTGGTCGGGACTTGGGGCTTGATCGTTTTGATCGCTCCGGTCGTCTTGGAGTGGCACTTCCTTAATTGGAGCAAGCATAACAACAAGTGCAAGCGCTAATTTATTATGTTATTTAATAAATATAATTAATTAGGAAGAAATACCAGAGACGATGACGACCAGGAAAACCAGCTCCAGCAGCCGCATTAAAATTACTTAATAATTTCCCTCAGAAATAATTAATATCAATATTATTCAGCCTCACCGCCCGAGGGCCGCATCATCATCGGAGTCGAGCATGTCAGCGGCAACGGCGTGTTAAGCATTATTTCGACTGGCCCTTAACCCCTCCATCCTGCGACATAAAAATGCATATTACCTACAACAGGACATGTACCACGCCCCGAGGCGACTCACAATTATATATATATACCCTCTTAAATATTGTTGCCCCAACGAGTATATAGTAAGGGGCACTGGGGGTAACTTAAATCAATTGCGGCATATAGTATGTAGCGGCAGGGCTCAAGCTGCGACTGAAGACTGAGGAAGATCTCCGGCTCGTTCGCAACGCTTGAGTAATTTTGAATTTTGCGGCTTTTGTCCTTAGTGGCAAATGACTTGGACTTGGATGCTGGCGGCTCCTGGCCAGCGCTTTATGGCATTTTATGCTACTTACGCTGCTTCTGTCCCCGAACAGTCCCCCTTTCTCAGCCATCCCCGAATGACCGTAATTAATCAATTTGGCCAAAATGGCAGCGGAGGCCTTACAGATTGGTCAACGGCAACGTCCGTGTAATAACAATGAAACCAGCGTGTGTGCTGCCGACTCTCGTCCCGGCTTGTACTCATGCATATCCGCACACCATAAATTATGTTCGCACAGGGTTAAGCGCATTATTTAGGCATTCATCACGCGCTCTCCCCAATCCCGAACCCCCCGTTCTCCATCTGCCCGAGTGCGATCCTTAACCCGATCCCATTTCCAGTCTCAGTCCCAAGTCCAGGCCCCAGAGTCTCTCGGCCACTGTGCCGTGTAATAATTTTTGAAATTTATGTAAACAGTGTTGATTATGGATGAGTTATGTAGCATGTTCTACCTTTTGTTTTGTTCGCACTGCCGGCGCAGTTAATTTTAAGCTTGTTTTGCAACTTCGTTTATCAGCTCCCTGCCTCCAGATCTCCTGGCGAAAAACCCACCTGAGTCATCGTCCAATTGATGTCTTTATTAGGCCACAGTCCCTGTTGCACACTTGGCTGTCAAATGTTGAAGTGTGGCTTTGGGTTTTGAGGGGAATTTCTTTAAGGAATATTATATCAAAAGTAAGACTACTTTTATTTATTAGACCCTTGCTGGGTATGATCGATCATTCGATCTCCCTGGCAGATGTTTCCTTCCATGTCAACTCCGAGGAGGACTCGGCATAGTTGGGCCTGACCACGTTCATGCCGCGTTCGCGTGCTTGATCAGCACATTAAAAATTACACGAAAAATAGCTGGGCCCGGCTGACAAACGTTTCTCGGGGGCAGCGAGGGAATTATGACCCGCGGGGCCGGGCCAAGTGGCTGCAACCATTTGGGTGGCGCCTTTGTCTCTCGTTGGCGAAACGTGCCACAGTTGGAGTCGAAGTCGCAGTCGAACTTAGAGTCAGAGTCAGAGTCGCAAATAGTGCCACATGCGGCGCTGGTTGCCTGCAACGTTTCATGCGCGAATAATATTTTAATTCTGTCGATCAGCCGGCACGTTTCGTCGAAGCCAATCACAGAGCCATCGACATGTCCCCGTGCGCCGAGAGCGACGCATGTCACCCGCCTCCTGGGTCTACCTGCTGCCAGGTTGTGGGTGCTCGACTCTGGCTAATGGAGCTCTTAAGCATGCGAACTGATAAAAGCGACAAAACATTTAACAAGTAATTAAACATAAAGCGCGCCCCACATGACTGCTGGCTGGTTCTGCCGCGCTGCCATAACTGTAACTGCATTTGGGCCCGAAAGTGGGTTAAGGACGCTGCACTCGGAGCACTCTGAGCCAGAGCTGCAACGCTGCAACGCTGCACCGTTGCACCCACCCCTTGGGACAGCCCCCGCCTTTGGCAGCCAACATTCATTTCGATCTCGCTCGCGTTCCTATTTATTTTTGCTGGGTTTCTCAGATTTTTGTTTTGTTTTTGTTTTTTTGTTTTTTTCGGGTGAGTTGTAATAGAGTTGCTGATATTTGGCATTGTATTTATGGCCCAGGCATCTGACCCACACCCACATTTCATTAGATATCCACCCTGGGCGCGGTGATAAATGCGATAATAAATATTCGAGTTGTTTCCCTGCGAGTGTTATAATTTAGTGTTGATTAGTTTGCGCAAATAAGAGTTATTGATTCAATTTCAATTAAAAGGATATGAATGTTTCGCCTAGGCGCCGGCTCCCCGCCGTAGCACTCACCTTCGTCCACTTGTGGCTCGCCCACGAACAAAAGACTGCGGCAACGAACTTGTTTCGCAGAGTGTGTGTGTGTGTTTGTTCGGCTCTTTTGACACCTCTCTTAAGGCACCAGGGCATTGATACGGCCCGGTTATTAATGATGCCTAATGAGTGGGTTGCACCCCAAAACTGTGGAGTCGCAACTGCAACTGCAACTGCAACCGCTACCTGGCAGCAAGCGGGGCAATTATATGTCATTTGTACGAAATCCCAGGGACATGCAATTTGGGTGTATACTCAAGACTCGAACTAAAGCGTTTATTAACTTATTTTCGTAGGGTTGCTTGCAGTAGCTTTGCTCGCAAGTGTTAAAATAGTCGGGTATCTCTACAAGGGCACCGAGAGCTGCCAGCGCAGGCGATTGGGATTCCCGGATGACTGATAGCCGGAACAGGAGCTGTGTATCGAAGGCGAGGCTGAAAGGTAGAACAAAATCCTCTAGAAATATAATTTCTTGGCACCAGCAAGAGCAACTCACATATAACAAGGACGCTTACGAGCTATACCAACAAATGGGACAACACACTGTGATCCAACGTTTTAGGAGGCCTGATCGGAATGGTTGTGGGACAGTTGACGCATGGTGAAGGTGGTTTCTGCTGGTGAAAATGGGACAAAACAAATGATAACACCACATATTCAATGGGAAATGCTCCACAACCGACCTGGTGTGCGGAAGCCTTCCTGGATTTTATAAATTTCGTTCAGCTCGCGAGCACTGCACAGGGGCGTGTCCACCTGGGTGGTTTCATTGAAGCGACCATAGTCGATCTCGTAGGCCTGTAGGTCCTTGTTGTACAGCACTACCGGGTCAAAACGGTGGCCCCACAGGATCTCAGTGTTAATATAGCTGGACCTGGCCTGGGTGCTCTGGCCTGTGGACTCTACGGTACCCTCCAAAATGACCACAATCTCGAATTTGTCCTGCAGCATGTCGGTGGCATTCAGATTGTACAGCGGCGAGTTCTCATCTATTTTGTGCTCGATGACCATCGGCCAAATGAAGAACAGATCCGAACCGGAGTCGTCGGTGCCAATCTCCAGCTCCGTAAAGTACTGCGTCATCACCTCGCCCTCCTTGGTGCTCTTGGTGCGAATCAGCTGAGCCCTCACCCCGGCTCCGATGATGTGGGACTTGCGCATGTCGCCCACCCGGAACATCAGCGAAAGACATCCGTCCCGCTGGCAGATGACCGCGTGCTTGGAGAAGAGCAGCGTCTGTGCCCGCTGCTTGGCCCGTGTCATCTTGGCAAACACAATTCCGGCCATGAAGGCGGAGGACATCACGCCGTAGATGGACTGGAAACACATCATGAAGATGGCCTCGGGACACTCGGGTGAGGTGGTGCGCACTCCATAGCCGATTGTGTGTTGCGTCTCAATGGAGAACAGGAAGCAAGAGGTGAAGCCATCAATGGCCGAGACACAGGGCGCCCAGCCAGACTCCTCTGCAGGATTATATATAATCAGAAGATTTACTTTTACTAAATGACTTCTTCCTCACCCTGGTTGTCCGGCATATGAAGCTCCTCCAGATCGCCGTGTGTGTAGACAATCAGCCACCAGATGAGCGCGAAGAAGAGCCACGATAGAATGAAGCTGAGGGCGAAGGCCAGCAACGTCCAACGCCACTGCCAGTCCACCATGGTGGTGTACATGTCCTGCAGGAAGCGCACTCGTCTCCTTTGGAGGTGCTTCTGTACCACATTGCAGTCTCCATTCTTGAAAACCGCACGTCTGCGCACTCGTCGCATGCTGCCAGGCCGGAAATTGCGAGATCTGGAGAAAAATTAGGGAGCATTTAAGTGGAATGCCTAAAAGTGTGCTAGGAATATCAGCTGACATGAATAAGCTGAGGCTTCCGTAGGCCATATTTATTTGGGAAATAATAGGGGAAGGCTTAATGATTCACACATAAATTTAAAGAAAAATATACAATTTAAATAAGAAAACTATTTATACTCCCTTTGAAATCCTAGGTTTAGTAAGCTATTAACTTGAATTCCTCTGAATGACTCATTCTGAAAGACCTTTAAGATACATTTAACGAGACATTTGTGTAACCCCATTACCTTCAACATTCCTCTGCCGTTATCATTTCATTGTCATGTAATTTCTATGATTTATGCAAGTGTCAGCTGCAATTGGTTGTCTCGACATCGTGTTTTTTAATTTGCTGGAATTAAGTGTGCGCTCAGACACTCGTTCTTTTTGGCCAGGCCACACGAGAAGTGCATCTAATTAACAGTCCAAACGGGCGGACTTTAGACGGAATCAGAGCACTTGCATCCCGGATTATGGCACTTAATTGCAGCTCACCCACCGATCTTTTGATTTATTACACCAACATGTCACAGCTCGCTGCGGTTTAATGGGGTTGAATCGGGGACACCCACATGGGGGCTGAGCTCAATCATCTCTGGACTGGCTGTCGGTCACCTTAACCCCGCATTGACACCCGACACTTGCAGCGATTAATTGGCATTGTGCCGATTGCATCAATGCCCGCTAATCAAATTTACTGCCCAACTAACTATACATACGCCATGTGATTCATCTTGCCGCTTCGCAGTGTGTCTCACTTAATTCTTTATTGTTTTCACTCAGTTGAGCGGCCCACGCATTAGTCAAAAATAGGGAAGAATCTCTGAAGCCGCCGCCGCCGCCTCTAAGCGGAAAAGGAAGTGGAAGCTGTGTATCTCCGGTGGGAAACCTTTTGCCCAACCGTTTAGCGGTTGACAAGTGTGGGAAAGAGTTGCGATTCGGGGGGCAGCACTGCCTAATGAATCGCAGCACTCGTAACGCGCCCCTAAATCAAGCGACCTGCACTGCAATCTGCAGTCACTAAGCAAACCCCTGCCGTGGGCGTTGCCATATAAATTACAACCGCAAACGACGGGCGGCGTTCCGCTAATCAGCTAGACAAAAAGCCAGCAAAGAAGATGCGACAACGTGACACGGACGGACGCACTGCCTCACTGTCTCTAGCCGATGATTGAGAGGCTGTCGGCAAGTTCAAGTTGAATGTCAAGCCCCTTACGAGCTAATTACCGCACGGAAACTCTGGGCAATTGGCTAATTGCTGAGCAAAGCTTCTATTTCTACTCAAACTTTGGGATATCTTACTGGGATGGGAAGGCCCATGGGGGTTTCTTTCCGGTTTCAAATAGGAAGTACTTGCTCGATGAATAATAAATAAATATTTTCCATTAGAAGTTCTTGCTATTTGCCTACCAGAGCTATTTAAATGTTAGAAAATTACTTGAAAATATAAAGGCTAAAGATAATGTGGTTAAATATCACAAATCTTTCTGACTTTATAACTAAGCATTACTTTAGCTTCGGATAGTTTGAACTTTACGTTATGTAAATCCTTTGTAAAATATTAATAGCAAGTTAAATGTAAAATGGTTAAGAACCAACTCCTGAATCTATCTACCATAATCTCTAGAAATTCGCACCCTTTGGCCAACGAGTGGCTGGATCCTTTGAGCGCCTCGTAGTAGACTCCTGCTTGCGAGGGCGTGTGCGAAATGCCGCGCATGTATTGCCGCTTCCACTCCTTCATGTGAGCAAAGGTCTCCTCCTTGTCATTCACCGTCTCGGCATCGGCGGGGTCCTGCAGGACCTGGACATCGCTGAGCGGAACCTGCATTTCGCTAGACGTTCTAACTTCGCGATTTCGAATCAAACTGAAGCTCCTCACCCAACGATTCCACCCAGGCCAACGTCAGAGGGCCCCGAATTTGCTTAGCCAATTAGAGCCGCTCTAACTAATGGCCCAATTATTGACCCAGTCACTTAGCCACTTGGTAAGGTAAATAGACTACCTGGGAAACTCACCTGCAGCTCGGCTGCCGCTGGAACGCCTTGCCATTTGAGGAGAGGCCGTAGAAGCTGGTCGGCCGATTGGGCACTATGGTGATGGGGTAGGAGTGAGGGTTACTGATCACACTGTCCAGGGAATCGGGATCCGCCTCGACGGCCTTCTTCAAGGGCTGGGCGGCCTTATCCCCACCATTGGCCTGCGTGGTGGCCGTTGCCGTTGAAGTGGGCGCCGCCGAGTGGCTGGAGAAATTGAAACGCATCTGTGGGAGGTCGGTGTGATAGCCCTTTCAATTAATTTACTTAGACGGGGTCGGGTGAGTGCCGCCTCAAGTAGGCAAACAGAAACTTGCGATAAGTGCAACCCAGGTGCGATAAATCTATTTTGTTGCCGTCAACGTCAGCTGATTTGCACAGATTTCTGTGAAGCAAACCGATCTGCTATCAGCGCGATAGAGTCACGGGTAACTTATATTATTTGCGTTATAAATAGTGTAAAAATTATAAATTAATGCCCCAAATGGGTAGCTCTTGAAATTACAGAATATCCAGAAGCACTTCCTGTATGATTTTTCACACCCGCTCAGCACTTTTCACAAGATTCGAGGCAAGCACTTTGGAAAATCTGCGCACGCACCGTGAATTATTTCTTTGAACGGCACGTTTTGGGCTTAAGTAGTTTTAGCACCTCTTTATGAGCCGTCAAAATGTTGAATTGATTGACACCTTTAAACCGATCACTTTTTAGATGGCCATTGTTATGCTAAAGAGTTTCAATCGCTTTTTGGCTTGCCACCAAAAGATATTGTAACTAATTTGGCGACCTATTTCGCTTTCTTGGGTGGACGCGTGTCGGGAGTGGAATGAGTCGAGATCACAGGGCACTCGACTCTGAAGCTGGCGGAGGCCACAGAAGCCGCAGCCACAAAGCTACTGTATCTGGCGAGAGCAACGTATCCGCAAGTCTGCCCAATGGATTAAATGACGGCCGACTGAAAGAACATTTTTTCAAACTAAACAAAAGTTGTGAGCAGAAAGCGAAGCGCTGTAAATGAGCCGCTGGCACACACACCCGCACAGGAAGAGAGAATTACACACACCGCACACACACACACACGACACTTTTCACGCTGCAGATTGGCGATGCTCTCACAGATACATTTACCGAAAGATACAAGTTGTGGCTTGACGCGGAATAAGTTCAATTGGAATGATTCGTAAATTGGAAACGAAGCGGAAGATAAGCGCGATAAGCTCATCTTATCTCGCTGAGGAGGAGAGAAATCAGCTGCCAGACACTTCTCAATGCAGGCGACCTTGGGACGCCGTGAGCAAGGGGTGGCGTATCCGTAATATTCTCTGTCCCCCTCGTCAAGTGTCGCAATATCGATCAGTCAGGGCCTGGAAAGCTCTGATTTATCAGAGTTAAAATGGAGGAGAGAGTGCGGAAAGAGGAGACATTTTTCTCTATTTGCATAGACGGAACACACAATGGCCCTCGTTCGCATCTTCGCTCAATTTCGAGTACAAGGTGGCGTATACGTAATATTCGTGTATTTACCCGCCACTCACGCGCAAATCGGCTGCATTGTGCAAATACAAACAAAATAACACTGGTGACGTTAATGGCACAGATATATCCCAGAAGTATTATGTCCGCCAAGGTATTACTTGGGGGAGGGCAAGAGGGCAGTCATCGGGAAAGTCACGCGTAGTGTCTTTTTATGGCTTCCAACCAATTAAAACCTATCACCAAAGTCGTAAATCACTGGCCATTGTGATGGCAACAAAGCCGAATTTTACGCTAAATAACTTTACAAGAATAACTTCTAATTTATAGATGGGAAACATATATTTACTCGGAGGTGGCTCTTCCCTGAGGGTTGTCTGCAGTTATTAGTGAAAACATTGCGTTGTGTTTGTGGCTTGAACGGATTCTAACCCACGGTGCATACACCTATAGGTGTGTGACCTGCTGAGGTCCCCTCTCAACAGACAGTCTGATGCAGACGCTTCAATGCTCTTCCGTCATTCCCGCCTCAAACCTAATTTATGATCCACTAAATCCACTAAACGCGGATGAAGAGCGCCCAAACAGCTGCGATAATTGAATAATCAACTTGATGGCCCAGTGTGTGTGTGCGACCCCCGGAGGAATCTAGATAAGAGTGAAGAGTGCCCGAAGCCCCTTTTCCCCACTTTCCCATCCGATTAGGGGTTGGCTTAACTCGCGCCAAGTGCAAATTTGTAGTCAATCATGATGCCACTCTGGTGTCCAGGGGTGTTAATTAGCGTTTAGGTCCGCACAGAGCCTCCAGTGGAGCGGCTATTTCTGTAATGGTCAACAAATCGATTCGGTTGACTCTCCCAATTAACCCCCCTCCGACAGATTTATATATTTATTGCTAAAATTATGCGAAAAGCTGCGTTTGGCGGGATCGGGCCTTAAAATGGTTCACGTTTGCATTATGCAAGAGCGGTGCGACTACTTTGCAATTTATTAAAATACTTTTATTCGTGGGCTATTTGTGTCATTTCTGGAAGTAAAATAATGGTATCGAGAAGGTTTTAGTCAAGATATTCAAGTATAAGTTAATTTTCTTTAATAACATCAAATAAATCGCTTTGTTATGTATATAGCCTTGCAGTTTCCAATTGTAGAATATTGATATTTTTAGAGGACAATCTTTTAGACAAATGAATATTTAAAATAGGCATAACTAAGCCAAAAAAGTGGTAAATTTAATTCGGGAAGCTTGCTTATGTTTATTTTTATTAGAATATTTATGGCTTATAGGGTCGGAAATGACTCCTTCACTTTGATTCAAGCTTCTGACTGACATTAATATACCATAATTTTAGTCGGTGCTTATCAATATTTTTATATGGCCATTTTTTTTATAAATCAATGCTTAAAAAACTCATAACTAAGTCAAAAAAGCTTTAATTTTAAACCGGAAAGCCGTTTTATGTTAGTTTTTATTAGGTTAATGAATCTGCATACACAATTCAAAATTTTAAGAAACTTAAAATTTTGACAATTTTTTTTACAATTTTATCGATGTAACCCCTTATGATATTTCGAAAATTTTGAAAAAATTTAATTTTTGCCAGACATAGCCAGATCGATTCAGCTGTTTATGCTGATCAAGAATATATATGATTTATAGGGTCGGAAATGTCTCCATCACCGAATACAATCCTCTGACTGAAGTTAAAATACCATTTTTTAAGTCGATAATCAATAATTTTATATGACAATTTTTTTATACAAGTCAGTGCTTAAAAATTTCATAACTAAGCCAAAAATGCATTATTTGGAATTCAAAGACCACTCTTATGTTAGTTTTTATTGGATTAATAAATCTGCATACCAAATTTGACATTTGAAAAAAAATGAAATTTTTTGTAAAATTTTTGACAATTTTAATGATGTAACCCCTTATAAAATTTTGGAAAAATTGAAAAAATTTATGTTCTTCCTGAGATGGCTAAAAAGATACTCCTAATGATGCTGATCAAGAATATATATGGTTTATAGGTTCGGAAATGACTCCTTCACTGTGTAATATGTTTCTGACTGAAATTATAGTAACCCTGTGTAGTAACCAAGTGTATAGTAACTAGCGAAGATACCGATAGCTACTTGTATTTTAGATACAATTTAGAACACAGCGGTTAAAGCATAGACTAAAATTAATAGCAAGTTTCAAAGCCATGTGCTTCCCTCGTTTTTTACAACATTTTTAGCATTCGCACTGCTTTCTTTTACGTTGGTTAAGTTCAAGCATCATGTAGAGTTCAGCAAGTTTGCTTAGTCTGACAGGTCTGAAAATCAGGCGCCAAAGTTTAGGTAAAAACCGGAAGTGTGGCTGCGTACAATTTTTTACATTTTATTATACCCTTGCAGGGTATTATAATTTCAGTCAGAAGTTTGCAACGCAGTGAAGGAGGCACCTCCGCTATTTTAGCTATTTTGTTATACTCTACAGTTCTGTGTAAAATTTTATGAAAATCGAACTACTATATCATATAGCTCCCATAGGAACGATCGAGAAATTAATACAATTAAAAATTACAACTATTTCAGTTTTAAACAGATCATCATCAAGTTTGAGGTGTAGCCATTTTATATTAGTCTTAAATTTTGTGAAAAAATTTCATGAAAATCGGACGACTGTATCATATAGGTGCCAAACAAACGATCGTTTGGTGTAGAGGAAAAATGCAAAACTGTGAACTGCAAATATAATATGTTTAGGTGAATGAAATGAAAACAGGTGTTACTTCATTGTTTTTAATCATAAATATATATAATTTATATTGTAGGGATTCCTACTCATAGAAGTTCAAGGTAAGTACACTAATCATATATTAAAAACTTATTTTATATACAAAAAAAAAAAAACATAGATAATTTTCTTAATACCTTTGAAGTTAGCTAATTAAGAGGTCAAATATTAAATATATCACAACTAAGCCAAAAATGCATTTATTTCAGTTTTTATTAGGGTAACAAATCTGCATACTCAATTTAAAATTAAAAAATTCAAATTTTCGTCATTTTTTCACCATTTTAACGATACCTCTTATAAAAATTTAAAATTGTCAAAAAATTTGAAGAAATTAAATTTATGCCGGACCTGGCTAGATCGATTCGGCTGTTGATGCTGATCAAGAATATATATGAATAATAGGATCGGAAATGACTCCTTCACTAAGCTTCAAGCTTTCGACTGAAAGATAGGCTTTGCTTGATTATTTGGTACATAGAGCGCTCTCCTCTGCGATTCTCAAGTCTTACACTTAAGCAAGGCTCTACCTAGAGGAAGTTTAGTTTTCTTCTTCTTCTTTTATATAAATTACTAATTTAGTGCTTGGCGGTTGATAGACTTTGATCGAGTGGATGTGGCAACCATGGCTAGATCGAGTCGGCTGTTGATGCTGATCAAGAATATATATGAATAATAGGATCGGAAATGACTCCATCACTAAGTTTCAAGCTTTCGATTGAAAGATAGGCTTTGTTTAACTATTTGGTACATAGAGTGCTCTCCTCTGCGATTCTCAAGTCTTATACTTAAGCAAGGCCCTAGCTAGAGGAAGTTTAGTTTTCTTCTTCTTTTTTGTGTTTTTTATATAAATTACTAATCTAGTGCTTGGTGGTTAACAGACTTTGATCAAGTGGATGTGGCAATCATAAAAATTATAGTTTTCTTAATTAAAGTAAGACGTTAATAAAATATCTCTTCATAATTGAAACCAAAACAAGGCCCAAAAAAGTCAAGATACATGAAAATATGGTTTATATTAAATTATTGTTTAATTACCATACCCTTGGCCGTGTTGACTAGCTTATTATTGATCTCGAAAAGTCTTCCAAGCTCTCTTTAAGAGTCGTGATGATCATGACGAGCGGGGATATGGTGTCATTTATTTATTTATAGTAAAGTATACTTAACTCCCGAAAATAGTTTATTCAGCACAACTTACTAAACAAAGAACACAACAATGGTGATAATCGAAGCTGCTCAATATAAAATATATATTAAAATAAGTTGATCTATATTTGTAAAGCAAATTTTTAAGAATTGGTATGCTTTTAAATAACTGAAAGTTAACATATTTCAAGCAATGCTTGTATATAATTTTTGCAAAAGTAATTCTACACACAAAAACCCGCTCAAAAAATAAGGATATTAAGCTTGCTAATATAAGCCTACTTAGGATTTTTTTCCTTGTTTGTTTCCTTTTCTTTTTTTATACACTTGCAGGGTATTATAAAGTTTAGTCAGAAGTTTGCAACGCAGTGAAGGAGGCACCTCCGACTATATAAAGTATATATATTCTTGATCAGGATCAACAGCCGAGTCGATCTAGCCATGCCCGTCTATCCGTCTGTCCGTCTGTCCATCTGTCCATCTGTCCATCTGTCCATCTGTCCGTTTCTACCCAAACTAGTCTCTCAGTTTTGATGCTATCTGAATGAAACTTTCTAGTTAGCCTTCTATATACTCTCACTCGTATATATGTCGGAACGGACGACTATATCATATAGCTGCCATTGGAATGACCGGAAAATTTTTACAAAAAAAATTATAACATTTTCAGTTTTCAACAGATTTTGATCAAGTTTGAGGTATAGCCATTTTATATAACTCTAAAATTTTGTGTAAAATTTCATGAAAATCGGACGACTGTGCCATACAAACGATCGTTTGATGTAGAGGAAAAATGCAAATCTGTGAACTGCAAATATAAATATGTTTAGGTGAATGAAATGAAAACAGGTGTTCCTTCATTGTTTTTAATCATAAGTTCTATCTGCAAGGGTATATAAACTTCGGCGTGCCGAAGTTAACTTCCTTTCTTGTTATTATTAATATTGTTTAAATATATATATATATAAAATACTGTGTATAATATAATCAACTTTTATTTTCTATATGCTATAGCTAAGCCACTTAAATCGTGCTCATTTGTTAAAGTCTTAGTGGGTTTGTAATTATAGGCAGTATATTCCCTAACGTCTTTAAAAAGCAAGAATGTTCACTGCATTTCAAACTGTTCCTCTGTCCAAAAGTTTGCAATGCATTGGCGTTTAAGCCGATATTCTTTGAAGTTCAGCCGAAAAGATGCCCCATTATATGTACTGAAATTGTCAAGTTTAGACAAAATCGTTTGCCACTAGCTCGTGATGCTCATTTACCAGTAATGCACAGATAAGAAAATATATAAAAACACCGCAATATAATAATAAAATATATCTTTTAATTTACAAAAACATCGTGTGCCAGCAAATGGCGATAGACTGTGACTATTTACACTTTAAGGAAAGAAAGAAAGAAGTCCTGACTTTGGGTATGAGTGTATACAGGGTATGTGTATGTTGTGTGTGTAGTGGGAGGGGGGAAGGGGTATAAATGCTGGAACTCTTACAAACTAAGTGCTAAAAATATAGCTAATCGTATAGCTAACAATTCCTACAAACTACGAAATTGTACAATGAAATTTGCATTTAAATATTCTGGGTTTCGCGCGATCTTTCACAAAATGGCAATACGAAATGTGTGCTTGTGTGGCGTGACTGTGTGATGTAGGTGTGTGTGTGTGAGGGAGTGTGTTTGGTGTGTAGATTATGGTGTGTTTACATGGCAGCACCATTGTAGTGCTGATACATTTCGTCCCAGAACCTCTGACGCTCCGGCTCGGGATTCGTCTTCATGGCCAGATTGGCCGAGATGTCCATGTAGTTGAGACTGTTCATCACATTGGTGGGGTCAATGGGAGCCCACTTGGTGGTCAGGTAGGGATCCTCCGTGTCTGGTGTGGGAGTGCTGCAATAGAATCCTTTTCAGTCGGGGAAGATCTAAAGATTCAGCAAAAGTACTCACCCGTATTTAGCAAAGTTTGTCCACATGCGCACCATGCGGTTCTTGACCTGCACCTCCATCGACTTGGGGTCCAAGCTCAGGTTGAAGAAGCCAAACTTGAACAGGTAACCCAACTCGTCGCCATGGCAGACTCCGGGTCTTGGAATGCCCAGCATCCGCTTGTACAGACCCAGGGCACCGTCAAAGGAGAACCTGTACATGTAAACTGGCGCATTGCCGTACTTGGCATGGTTCCGGGCCGTACGACGGATGCCTTGCAGGAACATGAGATCGGTGAGGAGCTGCCAAGTAGAAAACATTAATAAGCATTTTTATAATCAGAGAGCGTCAGATTAGTTCACACCGCTATCATCTCGTCCACGGACTCAATGCCCACGTGCTTGTTGCCCAAATAGAAGGATCTTATCTCGCGGGTAACCCTGTCATGGACATGCGTCACATTCAAGTCCTGCGGCACCAAGCGGCCAAAGTCGTTCTCAATGATGCTCAGCAATTGGGGATTCTTGCGCAGTCCTAGTAGGGAAACAAGGGATTAAGAAATGTAATCTTCAGTCAGTAAAGCTAGTCATAGCCCTCACTCACGTCTTATGAACAGCATCGCCTCGTGCGTATTGTAGCCCGTCATGTAGGCCACATCGCTGTTGAAGTTCTGGTTGTGGTACATATCGCTTGGGTGCTGGGTGAGGAAGGGCTGCTCGTAGAACTGCTCCTCCTGCGAGTCCTGATTCCAGTATCCCTCCACCACGGGCACAAATGGCAGGCCAATATTGTTGCGCTGATCCTCGGCTGTGATTGTCGTAGGCGCTGCCTCCACCAGCTTCATGGCCGGCACCCGGCGCAGAAAGTCGAGGATTTCCTCTGTGTTGTTGGCACCCACATAGCCCAGATTTGCGGCCAGGCGAGCAGCTCGCTGGCTGGAGCTGGCGGACATGGACCAGGGATTCAAAGCTGAGCCGCTCTGGGAAATGGCGCGGTGAAACAAGCCCTTGGAGAGAGGCGATAGGAGCAGCAGCTGCACGGAAGAGGCTCCCGCTGACTCTCCGAAAATAGTAACCTGATTGGGATCTCCTCCAAAGGCAGCGATATTATCCCTAACCCACTTGAGTGCCAGTACTTGGTCCTTCAGTCCCTGGTTGCCGGGTGCATCGGGACCGGCTGTAAGGAAGCCCAAGGGACCCAGTCTATAGTTCAGTGTTACGAGGACTATATCCTCTGTCACCAGATAGTCGGGGCCGTAGAGGAAGGAGTTGCCTGAGCCAAAGGAGAAGCCTCCCCCATGGAGCCACACCATCACAGGCAGCTTGGGCTGCTCCCCGGAGTCATCATCCTTGGGCATTCGTGTGGTGAAAACGTTGACAAAGAGGCAATCCTCGTCGCCCTTGAATGTGTCCAGAATCATGTTCTTGTGCGGACAGCTCTGGCCCTCCCGGGATGCATCGCGAATGCCAGACCAAGGCTTCTCCGGTTCAGCAGCTCGGAATCTGGAAACACAGATAGTATTCTTAGTATTGAATCTTGGAACTTGAGATATATTAACTTACCTTCTGGCTCCTGTCGGAGCTGCGCCATAGCGCATGCCCTTGAAGCTATAGTAACCTCCACGCTCTCCCGATCGGTACTTTTGGTAGCGACCCCGCACCTTGCCCAGGGATGTGGTGGCCACGATCTCACGCTCTTTCTGTGGGAAATTAAAATTATTAGATACATCCCATATTTCAATATACTTATACATTCTTGATGAATATTAAAGCTCTAGCATTTAGAATCCCATCAGTTGCTTGAGTAACTTAAAACCGGCTTAGGCCTTAAAAATCAGATTCTTAGTCGCAACTTACCGACCATTTGTCATTGAAAATGGTTAAGTACATTAAAAACTTAATTCTTTAAGCATCTTTGGCCTCTAAATCTTGTAGTTTATGGTCTATTGGTTAGTTTAGGGTGCTGGTTCTTTAGAGGTTCTAAGTGAATATTACGCCAAGCAAACATAATTTGCTGCACCAATGACCACTATGTAAAAAAGCGAGCCCACTCTAAAGCCCACTAATTTGTCTGCCACTTGCGAATACCAAAAGATTCGAGTTGCGCAACCAATTTGCATCGGAGTGCGAAATTCTACTTTGGGCAGGCAAGAACCGGCGCAGAGAAGTATGCCATGTGCCATGCAAGAGTTTCGCAACTAACTCGGTCAACGGCCAATGGCCAATGGTAAATGGCCAAAAAACCAAATAAGCCAGTTCTCGGATTTTGATCGACTCGACTGCCCGGTTTTGGGGGGCGGACAATTGTCAGCTCTTTCTCTGTTATTGAGCGCTGTGACCTCAGCCCCGAGCGGCAGCTGCACCTGCATCCATATCCATGTTTGGCCAGCTGGCTATCCACGTTCAAGTTGAGAATTGATTGGCCATTTGGCCAAAAGAGGCTCTAACCGATGGCATTTGCTGCCGCGCGTGGTTCAAGGACGTGGCCTGAGACTGAGACTCACCCGCAAAGATCGCACCACCTCCTGGACCACTCGCATGGCCCTCGATGGCAGCAGCTGGACAAGCGAGTTGGGATGCGAGGTCAGGGTCTTCCAGGCCGTTGTCTCCTGCAATTACAAGATGCGAAATGTTAAGTATGTTCGGGGGGTAATTTTAAAAAAGAGGTAAAAAGATGTATACTATAAACTTAATTATGAAAAGACTTAAACATTATCTAAGACAATGTATAGAGAATTATAGCTTAAATACAAAGAATAAACTTGTGAGTATAGCTCAGAATATTTTCTCTTAGGATTATTGCTTGATTAACTTTTGTAAAACTTGAAATAACACAAGATCACCGTATCTTTTCTCTCTCTGAACCGAAAGAAGATAATTGACTGCAATTTAAAGTAGAGGTACAATTGCAATCATTCTTGTTTTTTGTTCGTCTTGCATTTAACAACAATTTGCAAAACATGCTGCGGCGCCTTGTGCAAATGCTCATGTCCAGCTTGATCCAATGACCGATGACAATTTCGGGGCTGGCCGATTTGTAAAGCGGCGTTAACTGTTAACGGGCTGGGCAACCTTCACCGGCTGCGACGCGTCGCTTAATTGAAATGCCATTTGCATAACTCGAGTGCTCGACTGCGGGCTAGCAATTAGGCGGTGTTTGCTGCCGTCTGTCTGTCTGTCTGCGTCCGTCCGTCCGCGGAATTGGCCACAATGACAGAGTCACGTGCTGCCGGAGGAAACGCCAATCTCGGTGTCGCATTAGAGCGACGGGTTCCCAGGCGCCCACGGGGGCGTGTGTCCCCAGCCGAAATGTATCTGTATCTGTAAGTGATTCCGTATCTGACGGTGAATCATGACATAGTTAGACGCCGACGACGAATGCGCTGTTGCGGCTGTGGAGCACCGAGCACCGATTCAAGTTCACCTTTTACGACTGTTGTTATGCTAATTACGGCTGACAAACACTCTGCCCTGGGTAAATATTCGCAGAGCGATCGAAGTCGAGCTCAATTGCTGCAAGGTATTCGGGCTTCGTCTTGCTGGCTCTGACTTTGACTATGTCCGTATGCTAATGTGGGTGTAGCTGGTTTATAACAGTTTTCTATTAAGCCCCGTTCCGATCGATGTTGGCTTTAATTATAACTGCTTAATGCGCTTGTTGGCGATAACAAGACACGCATTTCGGCTCAAGAAGTGGGTCATTGTTCAAGGCGTAGGAAAATAATTAAGGCTTAAGATCTGTCAATCAATGGGGAATGGCAGCTTAATATCAAATTCAATCCTCGAATCGGATCGTTGCTCGAATATGCAAACGGAAAGGACTGCCAGTTGCATTGCGAATCTCGCATAAAATTTTGCCACTTACAATGCAAACATTATGCAATGAGGCGCGCTTTCACGCCACGCTCGAAAGCCAACAAATAAATGCAAAACGAAATGCATATAAAAGGCAGGTATATAGAAAGCTTCGATGCAACAATGCATCGTCCGACGAATTGGTATATTGCATAAGAACCAAATGGAGTACGAACCGTGGTAGAACGGACCATTTGGGGGATTTGGCGCATGTCCAGTGACCCGGAAGAGTTTTCGCTTTTTTCCCCATTTCCCGGCGATATTGTTGTGGATCCAGCCACTGGCAATGGCGTTGTCGATGTGGTCGTTGTGGCGATTAACAAAAGCGCTTCGCCAGGTAAATCTTGCAAATCACCGCTCAGAGACCCCCAGTCGGATTCCAAACCCTCCTCCGCCTCGGACTTTCTCTCCGCGGTGACTATGATCCGCTGGCCGGATTCATTCGGTCGCTGCACACAAATTGCCAAGGCAATTAGACCGATGGCCAGCACAAGAGCTGCGATCGCGGCGGTCGCAAAATTCCGGGGACAGGCCATCGTTCGTTGGCTGAAAACGTTGCTTTTGTTTTATGCAACCGTTTGACAACCGCACAAATTCGCAATGCACAGCACAGAGCAGCCGTAAACTTTGATTTATTGAACTCGCGTCGGCGGAGCACAAGGAGGAGGAGGAGGAGCAGTGACAGGAGGAGTGACACTGGGAAGCTGTCACTGCAAAGACTCTGGGCACTCGGGATCAACGCGTTCACTCTTCCGCTAACAACTTGCAACTTGCGCTTTCAGCCGTCTGAAGCCTTTTGAGCCAAGCTCTCTAGCTGCGCTGTGAATTAAATTCCACTTGCTCCTCGATTTTCCTCGATTTTTCGTTTTTAACATGGCATTCATTAAAGTACCGAGGGTCGTAGAAATCACAACGGGGTATATCTAGTCGCAGATTAACAGCCTCGTATTAAAATAATTGTATCACAATATAAAATTAATTTGAGAGTTCATATATTCCCCTTGTAAGATATCAATTAGTAGGTTTAATATGTAGTTTTAGATCAAGTTTATTCTTTTTCCTGGGTATCTAGTTGTCGTATCACTATGGTAAGCTAAAAATTTGCCATCTTGCTAGAGCTGCACTTGTTACAGTCTGTCCGTCGGTTGTTTTAAGTTTTAAATACATTTTTTGGCTGTGTTTTGTTTATTTTCAGTGCTTGTAATCATTGTTTTTATGGCCGGGTTATGTAAGGCACGCAATGGCTCAGCACAGAGCAGACATTTGGCCATTGTGCTTTCGTGGTCGTGCATTCTGTAGTTGTAGACCCAGTTGTTGGCCCGGCTCGGTGCCGATGTCTGCCTTTTATCAGTCAATGTTATCCGACCGGCAAACGGAAATGTTTCAGTTTTTAATTGCCATATTATTCAGTTATGGCCTCATGATGATGGGCATAATGTGCTGATTGAGGGCGATGTAAATAGTTTAATTTGTTGGTGTTGGATCGAAAAAGATAATTCGGTTCACGTGATTATGAATGCTATATATGAGTCCGTGCTGCAACTACGATCAGTTAACTATTGGCAATTGGTAGCAATGGATCATAAAACTCATTCAATATGTGGGCCAAGTGTATTGCCAAGTCGTTTTGGGTCTTTGCACTCGGCTAATATATTCGTAATGTGATCAACTGCATTGGAATATTAATTAATGCCAGGGAGATTCGAATAGAATATTTTTAGAGAAGTTTTGGAAGGCTAAGCTATGTTTGGGTTCCTCACCGGTGACCTTCTCTTCCCCCGAACCTGGGGTTTTGGTCTACAAGCTGGCTAATAAGGAGGTGCCAAAATACCCATTTCACGCGCTTCACTTGGCACATAAAACAATAGAACTCCCCTTGCAATTGGGCACTCAGCCAGTTGGCCAGCTCCCCAGTATTTGCCGTTTGGTGAGCCATAAAGTCCATTAACGGGCACATGTAAATGCAGTGACCGGCAGCAACGGCGGCTAACTTGGCCCAAACACACGGCAGCAAGCCGAGACAGTGGCTTAGCGTTCATTTGTGGCTACCTGAAGAGACGGCGAGGTGTTGGGTTACTTTCGGGGCGGCAACAAATTTGCGACACGATGTCAAAGTCACACTTGGCCACTTGTGGCTTTGATTTAATGCCAGCGTAAATGGTAAATGGCCGAGTCAGCCAAAATGCTCGAAACGGGCACGCTCCACAAAGCTTCTTTGTCTCCGCAAGCAGCACTTAATTTATTCTAAGATATTCAATAATATTGGGAACTACATTCTAGCCATCCCGGGGTTCTTGAACTCACCTTTAGCGTGTTGGATATCTTCCCGGCACGTGCTATGGCCGTGCCAAAAGTGGACGGAGCGATGGCAATCGAGGAGCCGGGATCACTGAACAAGATCAGGGCCAGTCCCAGGAGCAGGAGGCTTAGAAGCGGTGGCCATCTGGTGGTCGTCATCGTCATGTGCATATATTTCGACTGGGTAAACAAATCAAATAATGCATTAGTCGGTGGCCCGTGTTATGGCCTAATGTGTTTGCCAACGTCAAAGCTAAATTTGTAGTCGCGGACACCAATCACCGAATACCGAACAGCAAACACCGAATATCGAATCAAAGTGCGCAACGCTTCTGAGCCAACTTCTTGGTCATGGCCAAGACAAGACGCGAATGTCAACAGCTCGAGAGACGACGTCTCACCGATCTTGCGCTTGACTCCGAGTGAAGTTAACTTGGCTCAAAGCAGCCGCCAACTTGGCTCAGTTGGCCCCAGCTTTTCCAGCCCCGGTCTCAATTTAAATTGCTGGCGATTATTTTCAAATTTGCTCACTGTGCTCACTGTGGTTGTCTTAAACTAATACAGACATTATTCAATTTGCTTCGCCAGCGTTTGTTTTTATTGCCGCGTTAGTTTCCCTTACGGGAGGTCACTTATATATTATATTTTGCATGCTCACAGGGCGTATGATTAATTAGGAATTCATTTCGTTGTTTATTTCACATTATGGGCGCGCATAAATATGAATTTGTTTTATTTTTTACATAAATAGACAGACTCAATGACAATGCGGTGACTGAATGGCGAGACCGGAAACCAGGCCGGGAAGGTCTCAAAAGAAGCTAACGAACTTTTTCGTGACCATAAATCTGCTAAATAACCCGAAATGGAAAACTTCTGATAGACTCGTGTGGTGTTAATTCAACTAACTAAAATTTCCGCTTCCTTAAAAGAGACGGCTAACTGGGCCATAACACATATCGCCAATAGGCACACCCCCAGCAAACCAGTAACCCACTGCCACTTCCTTCTTTTCAAAAACCACGACATTGCTGGAGGGGCCTTTTTCTATTTTGCTCATTTTTACCATTTATATCTTACAACTTTTCATTTTTCACTATTTTACACACATTTTTCTCTGTGCCTCTCTGCGCTCTCTGAGCAATTTGTAGTTATGTATGAATGACAATGCCATGGCAACACTTGCACTTTCCTTGAAAGTTGTTCGACCAGCTGCCGCGAAGAGAAAAGCAGAGAGACCGCTGGAGAATCGCATCGCCGATCAGCTGGCGGCTCTTCTCTTGGCCATAAATCACAGATATGCAGATATTATGATTACACGAAATGTGTTTCATATGCAAATTGGACTTGGCTTTGCGCAATGCCGCATTCGTCGCGGTGGCGAGTGTATTGAAAGCAACTATTCCGATAGCAGAATGTGGCTATTTTGTAATGGCCTGGCCAATTGAAGAGCTGGCCAAAAGAGCTTCAAAGAGAGCCACCAATGAGTGGGGAAAACTCAGCTGGTTGGCGGGGAAAAGCAGCTGACCGGGAGCCGTTGGCTGCAAATGCAACTCGGACTGGGACTGGGAATGGGATTCAGGCCGAGATCGGGACGGCGGCGAAGGCGGAGACTTGGCCTGGAGCCGGCCAGACGGGCTTACGCCTTACGTAAGCGGCGAGCAAAACAAAAAGGTAAATATTGACTGAGAAAGAAAAAAACAGAAAAAATTAAGCCAAATAGCTGAGGCGGAGAGCAAAGCCATGGCGCCGAGAGAGGTGTGAGAAAGCGAGAGTTGGCCCACTAATCATTGGGTCTTCGGATCTTCGGGCCTCTGGCGTGTGGATGCGTTCAAAATGCCCATTTAGCCGTAAGTCGCGCTTGGCCATTATGCAAGTAGCCGGCACGGAACGGTTGCCAAAAACGGAACTAATTCAAAACTATTCGAAATTCGCCAGAGGCATTCCGCCATTCGCGGGGCATCTGCTGCCTGGAACTGTTTTGTTTGTTGTTGATGCACGGCCGCAGCGTTTCATTAACAAAAGCTGGCTGAGCAAATATTACAGCAGGCAAACAGACAAATATTTGACACACATATTTTGGTTTGGTTTCGGCCTGAACCCTGTTCAATGACTCAACAAGTTGCCGCCGACTGCAGTGAACAGTTTTCCATGTGGGTCAGTATATTCAACACCAATCTTGGTTCTGGCATTCAATCACTTCTTGGCTAAAACACTGCTGCTTGCATTTTCTAATTGGTTTCGCACACTGAGCAAGTTCAAGTTTGCGGCTCGAGTCTTTATTGCCACCTGCCACCTGCCACTTCGATTCGATTCCATTCGATTTTACTTCTTGTTCGGACCTCGGTTTGACTTGGCTTTCAGTTTCACTTGGCTGTAAATGCCACAAACTCGGACTCTTCGCGTACCGGAATGATTCGTGCTTCGCGTTCGACTGTCGCCGACGAACTGAGGCTGCGACTGCGCAGCGGTGCGCTTAAGCGTCAAATTGCCCCGGCTTCTGCCTTAACCCACGGGTAGCCAAGCTCTCTGCGTCGCTCTGGCATGCCAATCACGGCCAGCACCCGCCGATTGTTTGATCAACGAAAAGGGGTTAATGCCACAAGATGGATTCGGGGCTAGAATAACTTAGGCATCTCTTAAACACAAAGAGTAGTAGTACATCCAAGATAATGACACCAAAAGTCTTGGATAAATAGAAAACTAGTAGTTGTTTCTGAAGTTCTGAGATTAGGCTTAGTTAAGCTATAATTAAGACAGTGAAGACTTTACAATGTATAAATATAATGGTCTCTAGACAGTTAATTAGTTTTAGATAACTAGCCGTTGCTATGTATGAGTTTTCAAGTCTATTACATCCTCTCAATTCACACTCCCGCCGTGGAGATACCATTAAAAGTTATAAATGGTGTTTCCCAAAGTGTGCATGATTTGTAAAATTTGTTAACTAATGATCGAAAGGGTATCCCCGCTGCTGCTACGCAGTTTCGCTTTCGGCAGCAGATTAACAGTTTGTTTGCAGCTCTGGTCTAAGTTATGGCCGTACTCATTCCGGCCCGTGCATAAATTATGCAAAACTATATTTCTATTTCAATTTTGGCAATTGGTAGACTACCCAAAACAGGCGTATTCTTGGCCAAACTATGTTAACAATTTTTGGGCATTTGAGGCACGCAACTGGTACTGGGCTTGTTTGCCTGAAAAGTATATAAATAATAACGTGAAATTGGACGGAGCGGCGCTCTCGTTTATGGCCCCGCGGAAAAGCAGTTGACACTGAGTTCAGTTCAGAGTTGCAGACGCAGATAGTAGATTGAGATGGAGATGGAGATGGAGAGGGCCGGTCTCGTTTACCGTTTGAGATCAAGGATGCAACTAATAATTTGTGGCACAATGAGCCAAGGCAATGGAAAATAAGCTGGCGTTTTGGCAATGAAGTGACAACTGCAGAGGCAAGTAGTTGAAGCCGGACAATTAACGAAGCGCCGGCAGATGGAAATGAACTTTTCACGCAGTCGACTAATTAACAAATCCATTGCACAAGTTGATAGCACACACTTAGACACTTAGTCGCAGTATTAGCGGAGCAATTAAGATAGGGGAATCTTTAGGCAGTGGAGTGACGAGTGCCATTAATTAATCGCTCTCGGAGTCTGGTGACCTCGTTGCCTTCTGTTCTCGCTCCGACTGCGGATTTAACCAAGCGCAGATCGTAAACAAAAGAATGCCGCGCACTGAGCAAATAAACCTCGAAATGGAAAAAATTAAAAACACAACACACAGAGCTGTTCACGAATTCATATTTTCATATAAATTGTGCATTCTGCCGGCGAACGTCTGTCTGTTGTTCTGAAAGTGTGTCACCAGTCGTTGTAACTGTCCGTATATTTGTCAATTGCCATGAATTCGACAGTTAAGCCAGAAAAGGCTTAAAGCCTTTATTATTCCCACTGAGAAGTCTAGCAATTAGTTCACGCTCCGGCCATTTGAGAAGACAACGACCCAATTAAACCTCAACCTTTTTGAACTAAATAGGTCGAACTTGTATTAAGGCATTAAAATAATAACTTGGTTTAAAGGCAAAACGTTCGAGATCCGCTCTCTGACCTGCGAAAATATTTTACTTGATTTCTTGAAAGATTACTAGACTTACGATTTTTACACTGTGAGTGCTTCCCGGAGTGAAGCTGGTGAAAGGCAGATTCAGCAGGTTCTGCCTTTCTGACGCAGTTGCATATCAAGGACAACTTCTGGTTTTTACTGTGCTGACGTCAATAGGTTCTATTTTTTAGGTTCGTTAATTCAGGTGAAGATTGTATGGAAATACAAATAATAAAAAGGCCTGCAAATGCAGAAGAAGACATCAACAACCCAAAAAATAAGCATTGTTAAGCAGCTAATTCAGAAGGAATATACAATTGTTTAAAGCAAATAAGCTCCTGGAATCTACTGAAATATAATGATAATGACTAAATCAAATAATCCCATCACCTTCTTGTGAGCTCTAAAAAATATTTGCTCAACTGAGTTTGCCAAACACATGCATTGCTTATAGTCAAATATTTTTACTTTAATCAACTTTTTAAATATTATAAAACAAAGCCTATTTTATACCTCTGCAGGGTATTATAATTTCAGTCAGAAGCATGAAACACTGTGAAGGAGTCATTTCCGACCCTATAAATCATATATATTCTTGATCAGAATAGTGAGCTTAGTTGATCTAGCAATGTTTGGCAAGAATTTATTTTTTTTCAAAAATTTGAAAATTTTACAAGGGGTTATTACAACGTTAAAATTGTCAAAAATCAAATAATAATAAAAAATTTTGAAATTTTATTTGTTATGTGCAGATTTGTAAGCCATCAAAAACTAGTACAGAAAACCTTTCCGATTGAAAATTAATGGATTTTTGACTGAGCTATGATGAATTTTCTCTATAAATATGAAAGGTATTCGTAATAAATTAACATTTTTAAATATTGAGTAACTTTTTATCTGCAAGTTACAAACTACTGACGACTGAGGTTATGCTACATAAAAATATTCAAACTCTTTAAACTATGTTTTTTAAAAGCATACTTTTACTGTGATAATTTATACTAACAGAGAGTTATTTTGAACATTTATTTTAAGAGTATATAATACTGTTAACGTATATGTTAATCCGATTCTTCAAAATTTATAATTTGCATGTAGGCTATTTGTCTTTCCAAAGGGCGACTCTGTGCTGCTCGGATTTTCCGAAATAGCCTAAAGCTCAGAAATAGAAGCACTCCCACAACAAAGCCAACGCGGGTTAAATACGTAAGCAGATAATCCAATCGGTAGTACTGGACCACGGAAATGTCCTCCTTATTTAGGCGAATGTGCTTAGCATCACGGTGTCTTAATACGTACTCTGTCCACCAAACAGCAGTGTCCAGGGGACTCATGGGTCTGTCCCTGAAAGACTTGGACATCTTCTCGGCTCTGAAACCATACTTCGGGTTCTCGAGGAGTTCCTGAATGGTTTTGGTTACTGTATCGGTGTTGAGGTTATTAGAGTCCAAGACCTCGGCTATGCCACATTGCTTTGCTCGATCCATATTAATAAATTGGTCAAAGAACAACGGTAGACCGAGCATTGGAACTCCGCTGTCTATTGCCTCCAACACGCTGAGTAGTCCTCCTTGAGTAATGAACAGCCGGACATTTGGATGGGCCAGTATCTGGCGCTGAGGAGCCTTCGCTATTGCATATAGCTTGTCCGTTTTATTAGGTGTCGTGGCTAGCTCGTTCTTCCATACAATCCTCGGTTTCACTCGGGAGAAGGCCTGCTGGAGTGGCTGCTGCATGCTCTCCGGCAGATAACTGACCATAATGTCCAAGCCCATCGAAAAGTAGATGACTCCGTGTTCCGCCTCGTCCATAAATCTCTGTAGCTCGGAATCGCAAGGTTCCGGCGTTTCGCTGAGGTGCAATCCTCCCACCTCGATGAGATTGGGCACATTGGCTCGCACCCTTCCCATGCTGAAGTGACTATTGATCAGGATAACCGAGAAGCTGGCCCTCAAGTCTTCAAACTTCTGCGCTGAGTACCCAAAGTACTTCTTAAAGACGCGCAGCTGAGCTGATCGGATGACGAGACTCTCCAGCATTTTCTCCTCGGTGATGAACAACCAGTTGTAGATCATGCTAAACAAGGAATGGCCCATGGAATAGCCCATCGGGGAGATGGGGTCATTGATGCTCGGTGCCGGATTTCCCGCCAGTGCTTCTGTGTGCCAACTTTGGCGCACACAGGACAAACCCATCAGGGAGGCATTGTAGTACTCGGCCAGACCGTAAAGGGCTTCAAAATGGTTTGTATCCATTATGATCATATCAAAGTGCTCGTTCTTATCTCGCAGCATCCGTTGAACACCATCGTGGCCGAGGATAGCTTGGGAAATATTGTAAAACAGTGCGGAGGCCATCACGCCCTCCGTCCACTTGTTCCGAAAGAATTCCAGCAATTGATCAGAGTTGATCATATCTGCAGGGAAAGGTAGAGAGAGTTAGTTCACGTCTTATAAAAATACTATCTTAATCAGTACAAAAAAAGCATCAAGTTTATGGATAATCTTATCTTTTGTAAAGGCTTGCCCAACGTGGAAAGTGACTAACTTTTCATATGTTGGTGAACAAAATCTAAGCTGATTTGCACAAAAATTTATAAAAGCTCCATTTCAATTTATGAGCCAATGCAATAAAATTAACTGATAACTGCCTAGATTATAGTCGCGTTGATAAAGCAGTGCGATTTTCTCTTTGTACCTTCTCGGTATGTTGTTTTAAAGTAACAAAATAATTTGTTCATAAAGTGGCCCCATGGAGAAATGGGCTTGCTGATGCTTGAACCGGATTTCCCGCCACATTTTCTATTATCCTTTATACTGATAAAAAGAGCAACAAATTGCCTACTTACCATGCCATTGTTGGTCTAGCATGGGCACGCGTATGTGTCGTACTCCCTCGATGTCATCCAGTACCGCAGCGGGTGTTATAAGGGTCACATTGTGGCTACGTTTGATTAACGCCTTCATTAAGGGCCGCACCACTTGGTAGGGTGAGGGCTGCCAGAAGGGAAAAACACCCAAGATGTTGGCTGCCTGCGAAAGGTGTCCATGGAGATCCACGAAGAGGTACAAGCACAGGTACACCAGCCAACTAGAGCCAAGGCGCAGTTTCATGATTTTCGTCCGCTCATGTCGAGCTCTGTCCACCAATGAACACAATTTAATCTAAGTTGTTCTCTTGAAAGCTCTATTTCGATTTGAGAGAATAATCAATAAACTTACCTTATCATTATTGGTTTGAAAAGAGAGAGCACTTATTATTTATTGACTTAAATTTACCATGTTATTTCTCAACTTTTGTTAGGCATTTTATTGTTAACCAAAAAAAAGATTAAAATCTTATATTTTTCTATTTTTACAGATACCTGATGATGAACGTGTACAATTGTTAATATTTTATCCAACTTTGGAAATACAAGATGGACTAAGAAATCAAACTCACTTTATTGGTAAGTTTATTACAATATGTCTTCGATTATTCCTATAATTTTGAAACCACATATAACTTAAAAAGATAATAGATGCAATGACTAATCCGAATCTGAGGCCATAGGTCAACAGACTGTCCAGTCGGTAATACCGCATCAGGGAAATATCCTCAGAGTTGAGGCGAATATGGGTGGGATTCGGGTGCCGCAGGGCGTACTCCGTCCACCAGACTGCAGTCTCTAAAGGACTCATGGGTCTGTCCCTGAAGGACTCGGACATTTCCTTGGCCTTTTGGGCGTACTTTGGATTCTCAAGAAGTTCTAAAATAGTGCTAGTTAGCGTATCTACGTTTAAATTATTTGTGTCCAGGATCTCAGCCATTCCCGCCTGTCGCACCTGGTTAATATTGCTTGAATGATCGAAGAAGAGCGGCAGCCCTAGCATAGGAACTCCACTGTACACTGCCTCCATCACGCTCAGCATCCCGCCTTGGGTGATAAAAAGCCGTACCTTTGGATGGGCCAGGACATGGCGCTGAGGTACCTTTTCCATCATATATATTTTGTCAGTTTTGTTGGGCGACATGGATACCTCGTTCTTCCAGACAATCCGCTGTTTTAGTCGGGAAAAGGACTGCATCAGTGACTGCTGCATATTCTGCGGCAGAAAGCGGACAAGAATTTCCAGACCCATTGAAAGGTAGATCACACCGTGCTCCGCCTCGTCCATGAATCTCTGGAGCTTCTCATCACACGGCTCAGGAGCTTCGCTTAGATGCACTCCTCCAATCTCGATGATATTGGGCACATTGGCTCGAGCCCTTCCCAAACTGAAGTGGCTGTTGCTCAAGATCAACGAGAATCTTCCCCGCAAGTTTCGAAAAGTCTCGGCCGAGTAGCCGAAGAACTTCTTGAAGAGACGCAGCTGAGGTGGTCGGACGAGGAAGTGAACCAGCATCTTCTCTTCGTTAATGTAGATCCAATTGTGAATCATGCTGAGAAACGAAGTATCCATGGCGTAGCCCAATGGAGAAATCGGTTCGCTTATGCTGGGAGCCGGGTTGCCTGCCAGATCTTCTATGTTCCAATTAAGGCGCAGGGAAGAGACTCCCACCAGGGTGGCATTGTAGAACTCTCCCAGGCCGTATAGGGCATCTATGCTACTCATCTCCAGCATAACCATGTCGAATCTTTCCCTCCTGTCCCGCAGCATCTGTTGGACTCCATCATCGTAGAGGATAGCCTCGGACATATTGTAGTGCATTTCGGATGCTAGGAGGCCTTCAATCCATTTGTTGTTTAGGAAGCCCTGCAATAGGTCGGAATGCATTAGATCTGCGGAATATACATTTGTTAATCGATACTCTTACTTAGTAGAAATTAATTCATATTTTTACCCCGCGTGCGCTGGTTTAGCTTTTCTACGCGTATGTGTCGCATTCCCTCGATGTCTTCCGGAATTCCCTCGGGTGATATCATAGTCACATTGTGACCACGTTCAACTAATGCTCTCAACACAGGTCTAACGATCTGGAATGGAGAGCTGTGACGAAATGGGAATACTCCAAGGATTCTGGCTGCCTGGACGAGTTCCAGCTCCAAATGCAGACAAAGGAACACCAGCCAAGCACAACCGAGGCGCATTTTCACGCTTTTTGACCGCTCACGTCGGCTCTCCGCTTCGAAATGGTGCAATCTTATCTTGCCTCGAGAGCCCATGAAAGTTCCACTTCGATTTATAAACAATACGAAAATTTACTGATAACTGAAATAGTAAAATCCTCTGAAAGCTCGCTCGTTTGCAGATATGTTGTTACTGTTACTAAATTTACTTATCATGCCGATTGTTTGTATTATTTTTTCATGTTTTAGTAAATTAATAGTTCTGTATATAACTAATAGTTTAGAAAAGAAGCTATTTTTGCATTTTTATCCAATGTTTTGTTTTTATTTTTTTTAGATTTTAAAAACAAATATCAATATACATGACTATTAGCAATCATTGGGTTCTTGGCTTTTGTATAACACCAACGGAACGTAAATAGTGTGTATTGAAGTTCTATTAAATTTGTTATGCAAATTTTTGGGTAAATTACAGTTTTAAATACTCCATAACTAAGTAAAAACTGCATGTATTTCAATTTGGAAAATTTTTCTGTGCTAGTTTTTATTAGGTTAATAAAACTGCAAACTTAACTTAAGATTTAAAAACTTTGAATTTCTTTTTTCGAATTTTTGACAATTTTAACGATTTTAAAATTTTGAAAAAATAAAAAAATGTATTTTTCAACCGGACACGGCTAGATCGATTCAGCTTTAAATGCTTATCAATAATATATATGGATTATAGGGGAAAATGAGTCCTTCGCTACGTTTTAGGCTTCTGACTACAATTATAACCCTGCCGGGGTATTATGATAAATTTTATTATGTATACATAGTATACATATATTTCTTTGGATTGGATTTGTTGAGGGTTCATCCTTTGGCATTCTAATGTATGTTATTGCATATAGAAGCAATAAATTCAATAACTTAAATTTAAAACAGACTTAGTTACATCTGTTTCTACCATGCCGTTTCATACCAATCCAATGGCATTCTAATCTGCAAGAATACCCTCTCTCTTTCCTCAAAACGTCTCTGCCTGTCACGGTGTTTCCGGTACAATCTGTAGCCAAGAACGATTATCGTTCCGGCAACAAATCCTAGGCGAAAAACCAAGAACAGCACACTGTCCAGTCTGTAGTATCGGATCAGAGGAATCTGTTCCACATTGAGGCGCATGTGGGTGACATCGCGGTTACGTAGTGCATACTCCGTCCACCATACTGCCGTTTCCAGAGGACTCATGGGTCTGTCCTTGAAGGACTCCGACATATTCTTGGCTCTCGCAGCATATTCCGGGTTCTCCAGTAGCTCCTGAATAGTGCTGGTCAGAGTATCTGCGGCGAGATTATTAGCATCCAATACCTTGGCCATGCCGGCTTTCTTCACGCGATGCAAATTGTTGAACTGGTCGAAGAACAATGGCAGTCCGAGCACTGGCACTCCGCTGTCTATCGCCTCCATCACACTCAGCAGTCCACCGTGGCTGATGAATAGCCGGAGGTTTGGATGAGCCAGGATCTCGCGCTGCGGTGCCATGGCTATCACAAATATGTTATCCGAGTTATTCGAAACTGAGGGAAACTCGCTTTTCCACACCACTCGCTGTTTCAATCGAGTGAATGCCTGCAGGAATGGTTGCTGAACGTTGTGCGGCAGAAATCTGACCAGGATGTCTTGGCCCATCGAGAAATATATGACTCCGTGCTCCGCCTCGTCCATGAATCTCTGCAATTTCTCGTCACAGGGTTCCGGGGTTTCGCTCAGGTGCATACCTCCTACCTCGATCAGATTGGGCACATTCGATCGAACCCTTCCCATGCTGAAGTGACTATTCATGAGAATAATCGAAAACCTGGATCTTAAACTATCCAGCATCTCTGCCGAGTAGCCAAAGATCTTCTTCATGACTTGAAGCTGGGCAGGAAGAAAGACCAGTTGGTCCAGCAGTTTCTCCTCGGTAATATAGACCCAATTGTGCCACATGTTGATCAGGGAGTGATCGAGGGCATAGTCCATGTGCGAGACTGGTTCATATATACTCGGAGCGGGATTTCCGGCCAGGAAATCAATCTTCCAGCTGGTGGTCACACAGGATACGCCCATCAGGGTGGCATTGTAGAACTCGGCCAGGCCGTAGAGGGCGTCCAGGTGACTTGCCTCCATGAGAATCATATCAAACCGCTCGCTTTTGTCGCGCAGCATTCTCTGGACACCACCATCGCTGAGGATGGCATAAGAGACGTTGGCTAGAACTGTGGCCGTAATAATCCCCTCGGACCATTTGTTTCGAAAGAAGTCCGGAAATTGATCAGATTCTAAAAAATCTGTAAGGAAAAACTAATTAATATATATGTTTTAAGGAAGGTTATGGTTCTGATACCAGTGATTTCCACACACACATAAATCTTTGTAGAATCATCTCTTTTTAAATAGCTTAAACTTTGTTTTAATCAGTTGAAATATCAATATGTGCATAACCACATATTTGCTGATCATAACTAATCAATAATTTGCTATTGAGATATCAATATGTGTAAAGCCACATATTCGCTGATAATAACTAATCAATGATTTGCTTTTATTCTTTGGAAAAATATTGTATCAGTCAACCACTTTGAAAATATGCGAATAAATTCTTTTATTGAATATATATAGAATTGAACGCTTAAATATTACAATAGGTTAAAAAGAATATAAAATTCGACTTTCTTAAAATTTCCATGACGCCTACGTTTGAACTTTCTCACCTTGCATAAGCTTATCCAGCATGGGTACTCGTAGATGACGCACTCCCTCGATGTCCGGCGGCAATCCCACGGGTGTGATCACTGTGATCCTGTGACCCCGCTCCACCAGAGCCCGCACCAGTGGTCGCACCACCTGGAAGGGGGAGGGAAGGCGGTATGGGAAGACAGCTAGGATATCGGCTGCCGGCGCCACTGCCAGGTGTACGAGCAGGTGCAAAATGAGGCCCAGGCAGCCGAGGCGCATTTTCACGCCTTGTGTCCGCTCATGTCGGAGCTCTGAAACAATCTGAAAGCAACCTTATCAGAACCCGAACACCTGTAAATGTTCCAGTTCGATGTATGAGCAATGACAATAAACTAGCAGTGTTATCAGAAAGCTTAGATAATTTTCAAAGTTCCCACAGAGAGCGTAAGAAAACGTTCTTATCGAATCAGCTGCTCACCTTCCCACCAAAATGGGGAAATTTAATTCAAAAACATCCCTTTTTTAATATAGACCGGTTGTCCTTTTCTAGAGTTTGCTTTAGTTCGCATGCGCCAAATGAGCCATCTATGGAGATTTTTTCATGAATCTCTGGCTTGAAAACAGTTTGATTTGTACCACGTTCCTATAAACTAGGTACTAGAGATGGTACTATAATAAAGAAATCCTTTATAGCAATTTGATTTGAAACATTTATAGGCATTGTGGAATCTGAATCAATTTTAGGACTACAATTTTATTTATATAGATAAAAATATAGTTAAATGAATGCTTCTTACCATCAGGTAAAAAATTAAGAAGATTACTTAATTCTTTATTATTCAGAATATGATGTCATCTTAGTTCACATAAATTATTACCAGCTTTTAGGTTTTCTTCAATTTAAGTTCTTAATTCAGTAACCAAAACTAATAAAAAAAAAAAAAATTAAACCCTTTTGCCGGAGACCGTAATAATTCTTACTAGTACTTACCAGTCAAGAACATTTCAGAAAATATCAGTAAATAATGTTTATAACATAGTAATAGGAAAAGGTATTAAATTGTGTTACAAAATATTTTCCCTTCATTGAATTCCAATAAAATACAGAAAACAAGTTAAGTAAGTTCAAGATTAAAAATCCAATTGTTTTTATATAGGAAGGTGATAATCATAGGCATAGTTAGATATAAATATTCTCTTACGATACATAGTAGCCATAGTGTTACTCGTATGACCCGGCAAGAATGTCGGATAATTCAGCATTTAACCTTTTACTGCCCCCGCAGGTGAAGGTGTAAAATGCCATCGCTCTCCATTTGGCCGAACGCAGTCTATGGCCTCGTAAATGCAACTGTGCGTTTTATATTTTGACTATAACTCAAAGTGCATTTCAACGGCGCCTCTATTTGCATCCTGCATTCAAGGGGTGGTGGATTCCAGTGGCACGAGCAGGAGGAGGAGGAGGGGTGCTGGAGTGCTCCTGGAAGGGCGGTACTTTATGTGGGCGCTGATGCCGTTCAAACATGCATGAGTTGCACGAAGTGGGCGGCAAATGCTACCAGCCGGAGCCTAGAATGACGAAGAGGCGGGTTCCGGGGGCTGCAGCGCGGAGCTGAGTCCCACGGGGGGACTGGCAGGCCAAATTAACTTAACACTCATAAATCAGCGTTAACGGCAACCGCAAAAAGCGTTGCATAAAAAATGGCAATGGGCCCCTCTTTTCGGGGCACTCTTTTTGGAGTTGGCGCTGTCCCTTTGACGTGGAAAATGGGATCGGTGTGTTGCAACAATGCATCGTTGCATTCCAAATAAACAGTTCTCGTAAAATGCAAGCGTTTGCATCGCTGAGTTGATGGCCGGAACATTTCTGAGCTGCCTGCCAGCCAGCCGAGCATATCAGGCTGGGCCAATCGAGATGATGTCCTCTTAGGCACTAATACGCATTTGTCAGGTTGTGAATTCCGAATGCGAGGGACTGAATTTTAGCCTCTTCTTGGTCCGTGACAAATCAGGGATCTTTCAGAATTTTGTAAAGTGCGCCCCCCTCCGATTCCCTTTTGCCCGATATCACAGCTTCGAACCCTGGACGAATGTCGGAAATGCCGGGCATTTCATCCGGTTTCATCCCGTGTAACGGCCGAGCAATTTGGTTCGGTTTGCCCGAAATTGCTGCCGTCAATTTTGGTAATTAAATTGTAGTGCTCAATTTGCCATCTTTTTAATCGGCATCCAATCATCGTTCAGAAGTAATTTAGATGGATTTCAGTTAGCAGTTTTTTCCCCCAACGCCGCGCATACTTAATTGAGTGCGGGCCCGCGGGGAAGTGTGCAAAAAATGACCTCGATTGCAGCGGAATGCATAATAAATACGTGCAGCGACAGGCGGCGCGTAAACGCTTTCGACGGAAATGTAAATGATATCAATGCGGCAGAGCCTGCCGGATTGGTAATATTTATGCGCTTTTGATTCGGCACTAAGAAGAAGTGCCGCGCACTAAATCACAATTTGCCGCCAACTTGCGAGGGGCTCCTCGCCCTTTCTTGTCCTTGGGAATCCCCACCGCAAACGACAGCTGGGCGTCTGATTTTTTAAGGATCTTGCTTGGCATCTCCTCCATAGCTCTTTTTTTGCACTCTGCTGCCCTCTGGTATCGGGTGTAATTTATGCGAGCAGGCGTCACCGGAAACGGAAACGAAAGAGGAAGCTGTCTAATTATTCAGCGGCAGTCGGTTAATGGAGCATCTTACTCCGGCTCTGTCTCTGTCTCTGTCTTTGTGACTTGCTGCCGCCCCTGGGCTTTGCATGTTTATCGACTGATCCCTCGGCCAACTGTTGCAGACGCCGTTTAATTATTGTAATAGGACTATGCGGCGAATGCGCAATATTGACTGTTGGCGGCGTGCAAATGTCGGGCTGTCCTCGCACGCAAGGACGAACGAGCCGAGTGGCATAAGGACGTGCTGTCACATTGCATCAAGCGCAAAACAATAAAATGCTCGCCGACCCAACCCGGCAGGTGTCGCTGCCGTGATAATGTCAACAGCGGAAACAATAAAAGCCGCAGTTGTCTTTCGACTTGGCTGCGGGCTCTTGCTCCAAAAGGACATCTCCAGGACATGGCGGAGCTAGAGTGGGAGTGCCTTCTTCAGATGGAGATAGCTGAGCTGAGCGGGGCCGGAAGAGCGGGGAGTGTTTAATGTGTCGTTCTTATTTTCCGGCTCCCTTTTCAGGGAATATGAGACAGAGAGAAGTTTTGCAAGATTATCGGTGCTTTTCCTGATTATTATTTAATTATTATTCCTTAGTAAATGTAGTTATTCAACAATAATTATGTGCTCACAAGGGGTATTTAATTTACATTACATTTGCAAAAAAAATTATATAGTCCCTTCAAATTTTTTCTCTGTGCTTTTATCTTGAGAAGCCAAACGTTAACTTGGCAATCTTATTAAGGCCCTACCTATAGTTTCTGCAAATGTTTGCCATTGCTTTTCATTTCCGGTTGAGCCCAAAAGTTGTCTCAAAGGGTTCGGCAGCAGCAGAGCAGCCTAAGCGGAAAGTTGGCCCAAAAAAAGAGGACTTGGCCCACATAAATTGCCAGATGCTGGTGGCAGCCACTTCACACGCCGCTGACAAGCGTCAGACTCAATAAATTACATTTTGCTGGCGGTGGCTCCGAGGTCCGCCTGTCAGTCCGTCCTTGGGTCTGTGTGCTGGCCGGGCCTGCGGCTTCATAAATTGATGCTGGTACCGGGGCCAGGACCTTGAACCGCCGCTGGTCGGCCCTCGTCGTCCTGGAGTGGCCACTTCAGGGCCTGCCAGCTGCTCTCGAGTGTGGCCAATGCAACTTTAGTTTCAGCTCCAGATTGTGTTTGCCTCTGCGTTGTTTTGCGTTGTGCTGTGCGGCTGCCCGCAAAGTTCCGCTTCCACTTTCTATTCGAGGGGAAGGCAGGGAGGCAGAAATTAAAATTTATATGTCAAGCAGGCACAGCGGAAAGTTGGGTAGCAACTTTGCGGTCTGGCAGAGGCATGGCAGAGCTGGAGGCAGGGGAACCAGCGAACTTTTGTGCCACATTGAGCGCCATAATGCCAACAATAACAGTATTACCAACAGCCAACCAGCATCACCCCCGCCAAGGATAATGCAAAATAATGCCATATCCGAATCCGCATCCACAGCCACCGCAGCAAGGTCGTGGAGGGGCTTGTTGCCCCAGTGGCTCGTTTTGCTGCTATTATTGTTATTATTGGACTGCGACTGCAGCAGCTAATGCAAATGCGATCCTCAATGGCCTTAAAGTGTCAGCTGCGGCGCTGCTCTTTGTCCTGCTTTTTGGCCTGCAAGGACTCTAATTGCCGGCAACAAATTCCAATTAGTCGCCCCAAATCTCCAGCGTACGAAACGGATGCAGTGCAGCCGGGCTACAGAATCCCCCGGATTCAGTCCACTCGCCTGGCCGACTTTTATGAGCATAAGCGAGGCCAATAAAGCGCTCAACCTCATGCGATTATCGCCTCAGCTCTCCGAGCCGGAAACCCGGGGAGAAACTCGAGGAAAAACTGGGGAAAGTAGGGAAATTGGCCAAAACATCCGAAACAGCCAGAGGAGCTGGCTGCGAGTGCTATGCCGCTGCTTTCAAATGCAGTTGCAGCTCTCGTGCCTTCCTGGCGGGTCCTTGCCAGCTTTTAAGCGTTCAAATATTTATAAAGCGAAAAATGTTATGTTGACGCGCTGGCGGCCACTTTGCTGAGCTTTGAGGGTCAGGAGGAACTGGCAAAACGGGGTTCAAGTTAAGTGCCGAGAATTAGACCAAAACGCAAGGCAAAGCAGGCCGTAAACATTTAAAATATATCTCAGAAAGAGTAGCTCACTCTGCAGACAATAAAAATGCATCTAGAAGATGGGATTTAAGTTTTATATTACGTTGTTTTTCAAATGAAAATTTATTATAGTAAACCAAAATGTGTATTAAGTGATTGAAAGTGTATAGTGTGATTTCTACAGAACTTTACAGTTAAATTTTAAACTTTAGGCGAACTGATTAATTAATTATTCCTGTAATTATTTTTCTTCTCTTTAATGTACTCTTATTAAACTTCTTAAATGATTTCAAAATAATTCAGTTAGAACATTAATTCTTAATCAATTGGATTCAAAAAATAAATTGTCAAAATTTGACAAAATATTGTATATTTTTAAAGATCAAATTGAGTATGTAGATTTATTAATCTAATAAAAACTAACATATGAGTGATTTCTGAATTAAAATTAACGCAT